AGAACTGGGGACTGAACTCAGACCCTTGCACTTGCCAGGGAAGCGCCTATTCTACTGAGTCTAGCTTTAATTTTTACAAGCTTCAAGTGAAAATCAAAATGTGCTCTACAAGGCCAATGATATCCAGCTGGGAGGTCATATAACCTAGGTTTAAGACATTGGTCATCAGTCTCCTCAGGAGCCAGGGAATACAGAGCTAAAATCCTCAAATCAGAGATAACCCAAAAGAAATACTACTTTGAAGGTACGTTTAAGAACAACCTCTTAACTTCTCTTCCAAAACACTAGAGGGCCTGGACAGATAGATATAAAGCAAAAAAGAACATAGTGGTTACTCCAGTGGGCCAACTCAGATACAAACTGAGACCTTATGAATCAGCAGAGAATACATGGATAATATAATCCTAGGTTGAGATTTTCACATATTTCTCTTTTACTATCTGTTACCCAAGGCCAGTATTGCATGGCTCTGCACTTGAGTTTCTCACTTGTGTAATATAAAAGTGATGCTAAACTTCCAGGGGGTTTTAAGAATTGATGTACAGGGGTCGGCAAGATAGCTCAGTGGACAAAAACACCTGCTCAGGCAAGCTTAGGCAAGTGCAGGGACCGCAGTTTGATATTGGCACAAGCCGCACCTGCCCTGCCCCCAAGGCAGGCTTGAGCTGGCCAGAGTCCTGGCCAAGTCGCCCATAATCCCAAGGTTGGGGAGGTTGAAAACAGGAGGATCACTATGAGTCCAAGCTGCATAGTGAGACCCCTTAACAACCAAATACATAAAAAAAAAAAAAATTAAAAAAAGAATTTATGTACAGATGCCTCCCATGATGCCTGGCTCTCAGCAGATGGCCAATAAGTGTTCATTTCTTTCCTTCCCAATTAGAAAACCAAGTGCAAATGTAGACAGACCCCTTTCCCTCTCATGTCCAGGCAAAAGTGAACTATTTCTTACCTAAAACCAAACAGGTTTCTGTAAGTATAGAAGGTCCTCTAGTCAGTTAGAACCCAATCAATCTAATCAATTCCCATTAGTGAGAATATAGTTACAATGTACATTGAACATATAAGAACCATGCCCCACCAGGCATGATGGCACACACACCTATAATCCTAGCATTTGGGAGACTGAGGCAGGAGGATTGATGCAAGTTCCAACCAGAGCTAGAAAGTGAAAAGGAGAGAAGCTCTGTTGGCAGAAGCCAAGTGAGATTAAGACATAGGCCCAACCTTCACACACATCCAAATTCTTTAGACCAAATGTTTGCAGGTAAATTCTCCATCTATAGAATAAGGAAACCAAGCTATTATTACGGAGCATTTACATGTAAACATGTAACAAGCTATCCCAAGTCCTAGGGAAAGGGCCTGACTGTGTGTATGCTCATCCTTAGCCCCCCTGTGAGAACAGCCAGTTGTGGAGAAGCTTCTTCCAGCCTTTTGACTCTGAGTCTAAGTGCGCTGAAAAGGATTAAGGGAAACTCTCTGCCTAAGCATGCTATGCAGTGCAGTTGTCCAGTCTTCCCCAGGGCACAGAATGGCAGGATATGAGTCTAGACTCCGATTCACCAGAGCCTAAGCTCATCCATCAGAGTTCCATATTATCCCTCTTTCCTGTGACCCTATAGATTGAAACAGTGTCAGTTAAGCCACACTTATCATGGAAAATGTTATCCTGATTTTTAAAAAAGTAAACAAATAATCAAAAAATCTGATAACCAAGAAAAAAGTGTTATCAGAGTATGCTGATGCAGTTCCAACCATAAACCAGGAAACCTGTAGTTCTGACTAATTTGTGTAGTTGTATGGCAGTTAAAGATAGGTCGTCAATTAAAAACAAAAAACAAAACAACAAAGAACCATAGGGCTTTCATTATTTGTGGGGAAAAAATGGAAAGGATCCTGTACATCTCTGAGGAGCATATACGCTGCAGAGCTGGGACCCACTCAACTGATCCAAGTCCTTCATTTATCAGATTAAGCTTAAAGAGTCCCAGAGCACTGAAGGCAGATATCAGAGGTTACTGTTAAACTACAGGATTAAGAATTTTTCCTTTTAGATGTGGGTTGCTTTAGAATACAGAGAACGCTTGCTTTCTTCAAGAGACAACGTGTAAGTCAAGCTTATTCAATTGAGGGGAAATGAAAATAAAGATGTATTATGTACACGTACCAACTCCTGCTGATGAAAATAATCATTATGTACCACAAACATGTACTAATAATTTTTAATTTAATAAAGATTATCAAATCAATGCTAAGCATTAAGGTTAATTTTATAAAAAGAAAAATCCTTTAAAAATGCCAGACAAAAGTCATTTCCTAACCAGGTATAGCGGTGCACCCCTATAATCCCAGTACTTGAGAGGCCGAGGCAAGATGATGACCATGAGTTTGAGGCCAGCCTAGGCTATATGGTGAGTTCACGGCCAGCCTGAACTGTATAACAAGTCCCTGTTTTAAAAAAGCAAAACAAAACAAGAAAGCCATTCCCTCGACTGAGAATGTGGCTCAATGTAGAGTGCTTGCCTAGCAAGAGTGATGCCCCTAATATGGGGCGTGGGGGGGTGTCACTCCCTCATTTACCTCATCTGTAAATTCCAGTTTGAGGTGTTTTCTTACTTGGGAGTGTACTTGTGATTATATCGCAACCCTTACGCCCGTGGCATGGGCAGGGAAGACATGTACTCTGCTGAGTGTGGCCTGCCAGGCAGGGGTATAAAGGGCACAGAAATTACATTCTTCATTCTCTGCTCCTTCTTCCTCCCTCACATGGTCACGCCTGATCATGTCCCCATGGAATCTGGTTGCGTCACCTTCTTTGCAACCACAGTTCCAGAACTCCTGTGGACTTTGTATTCCTCCAGAGGCCTAAGGGTCAAGGACTTAATTTGACAAAATCTGGCAATAGCCCTGTCTGGAAACCCTGAAAGCCTAGCCCATGTTCTGCCAAGGAAGAAAATGAGGCCTAGGGAAGGGACAGGCAGTTGTTCAGAGAGGAGCCTTTGAAGATGTCCTGTAATAAAGGAGGGGGCTGACAGTAGAAGCAGCTTTCTGACCAGGCAGTGATTTAGCTTCAAATCTGGGAAAGCAGATGGGCTGGGTGGTCCCTCCCCTAGAGCACAGAGCCCTGTGTGCGGCCTCTTTTCAGAAGTGGCTTCAGGAATGTGGCTTCTCAATTAGGGGAGGGAGAGGGTCTATAGTAAGTCAGTGAGTCAGTACCACTTTGACTCCAGCTGGGCAAACAGAACTTGGGGAATGGAGGTGAGGTTATCAGATACCCAGAGGGAAGAAATGACAAAAGACAGATAGACATTGATGGTTTTGGAGTCTTGGCCCAGGTTGAGAGTCTATTATCTGCTCTAGCTCCAGTTGCTGAGAAGACCTATCCCAACCCCCAAAGATTAAATGGGACATAATGTTGCTGGTAGCTAAATACCACCTCCACCCCCCAGATACATTTCCAGGGCTGAGTTAAAAGGAATTAATGAGGACCTGGAGTACTGGTTACTACAAAACTTGGTATCTTGATTCTACATGGTAGCCAGGTGTGGTGGCACACACCTACAATCCCAGCACTCCAGCGGCTGAGGCAGGATTCTACAAGGTAAGTCCACTTCCTAAACTCAAGATTAATTCCTATTGGCTCTTCAGAAATCTCTTCAACATGCTTGACAAACCATCTCTTTTTTTCTGTTCTTGGTTAGAAAAGGAAGTAAACCTGATACTACCCCAGGAGATGTGGATAGAGGGAGATGAAGTCCCTTAAAGGAGGAGAAAGAAACTCAGAAAAGGTGGGCTGGGGAGATAGTGAATGTCAGCTTTGTTGAAACTGGTTGCCTCATCTGTAAAATGGGGATACATAATCTCTCTTTTGAGAGATTAAAGGATAAAGTGCCTAGGAGGATGGCAGGTACAGTCAGCATCCAAGAGCTACCCCCAACCCCAATCCAGTTGCCTCCCATCTCTTTACCAGGGTCCAGTCATTCAGTGAGACTACACAGGAATCTACTTTTCTACCATGGCCCTGACCACCTGAATAGTGTCTGAAAAGTAAGATCTGGGGATCCAGCTGGGTTGGGGAAGTCAGGAGAAAAAAAATTAACTAGGACCACTGGTGAGGGGTAGGCAGCCCTTGGAAATAGGCTTCTCCCAAAGAATAAAAAGCCCCACCCTGGCCAGGAGTGGCTCCATTCAGAAGAGACCCAGAAGGCCAGAAACCCCCTGGGGAGTTTCTGCTGGCGGTGGGGTGGGGCAGCGAACAAAAGACAGGCAGGTTTGAGGAATAAAGTTTCCACACCTTCTTCTGAGAAACCCCACGGAGAGAGGGCCCCCACAGGTACTTAGGCTTGACAGGGGACTGACAAGGGTAGGAACTGGCCTCACAGCTCAGGATCACTCTCAGAAGCATTAGCCCTGGCCTTTCTCCATCAACTACTCTCAGCTGGGAGCTCACATGCACTTCAATCAGAGGCAAAGGTGCCTGCCATTAAGAGGAAGAATGTTTACAGGGTGCCCACTATGTACCAACCAGGCTACCCACACCCTGGCTGTGCCAGCTTCTAGTTTGGCAAAACCTGCCCATCCTGCTTGTTGGGACAAATTCCTGGGCAGGCAGCATGGCCCGCAGGTAAGACATGTGCGAGCTGGAAGAACAGCACCCTATTTGTACTCTTCCTCTGGAAGCAGCAACACAAGAGCAGGCCAGGTCAGAGGCACGTTTTAGACTCTCGTATGTGTGTCTGGGAAGGGAGGGGAGCCAGAGCTCCCAGGAGCTTCTTTCTGAGCTTATCCTTCACCTCACCATTTCCAGGACAGGGTGAGATGGTCTTCACCCGTCTGGTTCTGCTTAAGTACAACCTCTACTGGCTTCTGCCTGGCAGAACCAATGGTTAAGGGATAAGTGAAATTGGAGAAGTAGATTCAGGGAGGCCTCTGCCCTGCCCATAGGACCATTCCATGCCAGGAGAGGAGATGGGGAGGGGAATGGGAGACCAACTCACCGAAAGGGGTCTCTGGAGGTGAAGTAAGCCGGGATGGACAAGTAACTCCCCATCTTCTTCCCACACCAGATAAACAGGCTCAGCTGCAAACCCGTCTGGGAGTGCCTCAGGCCGGCAGTAGGCGGCCACCATGACAGGCCCGGTGCAGCACCTCTGGTTGGGGGCGGGCAGCCCAGCGCTCACCTCTCCCTCCGGAGCCGCAGGAGAAGAGTGAGGACTCCAGGCCACTGGCCCCCTGGCAGATTACTGCAGGGGCTCATGGCTGGGGCGGTTCCTTCTAGTTGTCCGAAGCTCCAGCAGCCCCTCAGGGAGACTCCGGGAGAACCACCTCTGTGTGCAGACTATAGGCACACAGACATTCTTGGGCAGGGGCTGTGTGTGGCTAGCTAAGAAAAGAAGCACTGCTGTCAAGTTAGCCTTCTCTTTCAGTCCCACCCCAAATGAGGGAGGGAGGGAGGAAGAGGAGGGGCTCCTGCAGAAACGAGGTGTGTGGTTGGAGCAGCTGTTAGGAAACAGACCTTGCAGCAAGGGGTGGAGCTGGGCTAGAGCGAGGCTGCAGGGAGGCTGCAGGCAGGCGCCGACACAGACAATGACTAGAGCTGGCTAAGCGTCCATCCCTGAGCTAAGGACAGGGTAGCACGGAAGAGTGGGCCAATGCATCTGACAATCGTTCTCAGCCCAGCAAGCTGGCTGAAGGACAGTAATTCTGCTGAGGTGAAGAAAAGCATAGGGCGCCAGCTTCAGGCAGAGCCACACCTCCAGAAGAGGGGGAACCTCTGGCGGGAGAGGCAACTCCAGAGAGCCATCCTCTGCTCTGTACAGACTCATTTACCCCCCCTTCCCTCTACCTGCTCTAGGGACTACCTCAAGAGCGGGCCAATTGGTGCTGCCACTTCCACCCTGGGGCAGGGCTGGAAACAAAGCCCAGAGTATTAACTAATACCTAATGTGTCTCCATGCGACAAACACTGCTGTTACTTCTCTGAGAAAAGAATTTTCCCCACTAATAACTAAGAAAATGAGGTGCACAGAGATCAGGCATCTCACTCAAGGCCAAAAAGCTAAACACCAGCTGAGCTGGGATTTCTTTTCTTTTTTTTAATTTTTATTTTAAAGAGAAACAACAAAAATTCAAAACAATAAGAGGGTAATAATGGTTAATACACTGTATATTGTATATTTAACTTTCTTACTCAGAGTACAAGATACAGGAATTTAACTGTGGAACCAATATTAGCACAAACCTTTCTCTTCAATGAACTAAGAGAAATAAGTAGTATAGCTGTCCTGTGTGTGTGTGTATTTTTTTTATTTTCTCTTTTCTACTTTCCCTCATCCCAGTATCTCTTTCCTTTTGAACAGTTTCTTCCCATTTTGCAATATTTATTGTATATTTTGGATCTTATTTACTCTTTCAGCTTTTCACACTAGGGAGGTAATAACAATGTTTGCACATGTGCATCTGGTTTACTTCACTTATGGGTATGGTCTTGAGTTACATCCATTTACCTCTAAGTCTCAAGTTTATCCTTCTTTATGAAGTAATACTCCATTATGTAAAAAGAAAACATCTTTTTTTTTCTTTATCCATTTCTTAGTTGGTGGACATTTGTGTTGTTTTCAAGATCTAGCTATTACAACTTGTGCTGCTATACACATGGGTGCACATGTATCACTGTGGTATGATGTTTTTAATTCTTCTGGGATGATACGCAGAAGGGGACTAGCTGGGTTGAATAGGACCTCTAATCCTAGTTTTCAAGGAATCTCCACACTGACTGTATTAGTCTACGCTCCTACCAACAGTGGAGAAGGGTTCCTTTGTCCCCACAAAAGTTGATTTCTTGATGATAACCATTCTTTCTGAGGGTGAGATGGAATCTCAGGACTTTTTTTGGTACTAGGAATCAAACTCTGGATCTTGCACTTGCCAGGTGGGTGCTTGTGCTGCTGAGCTATATATATCCCTGGCCCTTAATTTGCATCTCTTGAGTAACCGGTGATGTTAAACATTTTTTCATGTGTATATTTCTTACTCTGAGAAGTGTGTATTCATCTTAGATGCCCATTTTTGGATTGGGTCTTTAAATTTGCAAGGTCTGAGTTTTTTGAGTTCTTTATATGTTCTGGATAGTAATCCTTTATGTAAGGAAGAGCTGGCAAACATTTTTCTCACTGTGCGTTGTCTTTTACTGCTGCTGGTTCCTCTTGCTGTGCAACAGCTTTTTAATAAGATGAGATCCTAGTTGTTGATCCTTTGTGATAGTTCCTGGGAGTGGGGTTTTCAGTATCTTTAAAAATTTTACCTATTTCATCTTCCAGCAGATTTAATTTTTTTTAATATTTAGGTTTTCAATCCATTTTGAATTTAGTGCATGGTGGAAGGGTCTGATTTTAATCTCCAGCATATACAGAGCCAGTTTTTCTAGCACTATTTATTAAAGAGGATATCTTTATTTCAGTGAATGTGTTTGGCACCTGTGTCAAACAAACATCAGGTGGCTGAGTATGTCTGGTGTTGTTTCTGCATTTTTAATCTGTTTCATTGATCTTCAGGTCTTTTCTTTTGGCCAATACCACGCTGTTTTTATCATAGTAGCTTTATAATATAATTTCAAGTCAAGAATGGTGATGCCCCCTGCCTTGCCTTTGTTGACCAGAATTGCTTTTACAATTCTAGGTCTCTTCTGGTTCCAAATGAATTTTAAGATTATTTTCTTTTTTTTTTTTACATTTATTTATTGTGTGTGTGGGGGGGGGCAGCTCAGCCCACCAGGGGGCGCGGCTGGCTGGCATGTGGTGCTGGGGGATCGAACCGCGGTCCCTGTGCTTTGCCGAGCTTGTTCCAAGTAGGTGCTTTAGACCACTGAGCCATCTCTCCAGCCCCAAGATTATTTTTCTCTAATTCTGTGATATATGCTGAATTTTGATTGAAATTGCATTAAATCTGCATAACAATTTTGGAAGGCCATTTCTGCTATATTAGTTCTTCCTATGCAAAAGTAAAGAATATCCTTCTATTTTCTTTTTCTTTTTCTTTTTTTTTTTTGGTGGAACTGGGGATTGAACTCAGGTCCTTGTGCTCGACAGAGAAGCACTTATTCCACTGAGCCATCTCCCCAGCCCCGCCTTCTGTTTTCTGATACCTTCTTCAATCTCCTTTTTCATAGTACTGTAGTTTTCAATGTAGAGGTCTATTGTGAAAGGTGTTGTTGCCATAATTTCTGTCTCAGTGAGTTTGTTATTCACATACAGGAAGGCTATTGATTTTGATGTTGACTCTGTATATGCTCCTGAATTTGCTTAATAAATCTAGCAGTCTTTTAGTGCAGTTTTTGGGGTCTTCTATGTAGGGTATCATATCATCTGCAAATAAATTAACTTCTTCTTTTCCTATTGTTATTTTATTTCTTTCTCTTGTCTAATTGTTCTGGCTAAAGTTCTAGGACTATGTTGAATAAGAGTACAGACTGGACATCCTGGTCTTGTTTCTAATTTTAGAGTGAAAGATTTCAGTTTTTGTCATTTTAGTATGATGTTGGCTATTGGTTAGTCATAGATAGATTTTATCAGATTGAGCTAAAGACCATCTATTCCAATTTTCTATAGTTTTTTTTTTTTTTTTTTTTTTTTTTAACATGAATAGGTGCTGGCTTTGTTAAAAGCTTTTTCTGCATCTACTGAGATACGATTTTTGTCCTTGGCTTTGTTAATGTGGTGTATTATATTCATTGATTTGCATATGTTGAATGATCCCTGTATCCCTGAGATACATCCTACTTGGTTATGGTGTATAATCTTCTTGACGATTTGCTGCATTCTGTTTGCCAGTATCTTACTGGAGATTTCTGCATCGATGTTAATTAGGGAGATTGGCCTGTTGTTCTCTTAGGCCCTTCTCCAGTTTTGCTATTAGGGTAATGCTTGCTTCCAGGCATGAATCTGGGAGTATTACTTCCCTTTCAATTTCATTAAAGAGTTTGAGAAGTCATAGTGCTAGGTCTTCTCTAAATTTCTTGTAGAATTCTGAGCTGGGATTTTTTTCTTTTTTCTTTCTTTCTTTTTTTTTTCTTTTTGTCGGAACCGGGGATTGAACTCAGGCCCTTGCACTTGCCAGGTAAGCGCTTATTCTAGTGAGCTATTTCCCTGGCCCCAGGGATTTTTTTATTTCCTTAAAAGTTTTTATTTTTTTGCCAAGCTGGGGGTGGAATCCAGGTCTTCATGCACACCAAGCAAGTGCTTTACTACTAAGCTGCACCCCAACCCTAATGGTGAAATTTAAATATAGGAAACTATGACTCCAGAGCTGTAGCTTTCAGCTATTAGGCTTCATTCTACCCCTTCAAGGGGAAACACTTCTCTCAAAGCCTTCTGCCAGTAGACTGGAGCTCACATTACCAGCCTACTATAATTCATTAATTCTCAGGACACCATTCACTAGCCTCACTGAGAAGTGGTGAGTGATGGGCCAATTTGGAATAGGAGCTCACCTGCAGAGCCCCGGCTGTGAGGATGACCAACTAGGGTCTACCACTGAAAAGGACCGACTCATTCCCCCTGCTTTTAAGACTATGAAGGAAAAAGCAAGGGTGCTAGAGGAACCTGAGGAAACTTTTAATCTCACTGTTGGACTTGGGCAGTGACACAGGGTCTCACCCATCAGACGTACTTCCTTTTTCCCTAGAAAGAACCAAAAGTCATCCTGATTGTTGCTGTCATTATGAACTATGGCAAAAAAGTGTGATAAAGGTGGTGTCTACGTTACAAAAGTCTCTTTTCCCATTCCTCTGGGCACAGGGATGATGGGTGCAACATGAGACTGTAGCTTTCTGTTAATAAGCTCCCATTTAGTGAGCCCTTGGTATGATCCCTGTGGTAAGTGCTCTCAACCTATTATTTATCATATTTAAATTGCCAGTGTATAGGGTGGATGCTATACCCATTTAACAGATGTGGAAACTGAGGTTCCGCAACTAGTAAATGGTGAAGTTACATTTGAAACCCAGAAAGATTTGAAATCCTGATCCTTGAACCAGAGTAGAAATACTAGATTTTTCAGGTCATACAGACTATCATAGTCGACTATGCCATTAGAATGCCAAAGCAGCCATATATAAAACAAATGGATAGAGCTGTAATCCAATAAAATTTTTATTTCTGGACACTGAAATTTGAATTTCATATAACTGTCACATGTCATGAAATAAGTCTTTTGCCTTTTTCCTTTCACAACCATATAAGAACTTAAAAATCACGGGCAATATAAAAATAAGTGATAAGCCATAGTGTGCCCACTAGCTAGTGTTCTAGAGCCAGAGCTCAACACCATGTTCACTATCTTACTATCTCTTAGTAATGAAGAATGGGTTTGGTCATCTGTGCAGAACTCAGCCACACACATCTATCACCACATAAGACATCACACTTTCACCCT